AAGTGCTATTGCTATAGTTACCCAGATGTTCAGACTGGAGTTGGCATTTTTGTCCATCTATTGAGTCCCTTCTCAAGAACCTGGGATAGACAGATGTAGATTTTTGATGGTGCTAAGGGTAGATCAGAGGATGTAAGCTGTTCTGTGTAAAGCTACCTTTTGCAATTGACGGATGGTGAATTAGTCAATGCCAATGCTGTTGAATTGGTGCTCCAATTGTTTTGCGTTTGCACTCAAGGCACCTATGCTTATTGGTACTTCCTTTGTTTTCTTTTGTCATAGTAGTTCTGTTCCTATTTGCAGGTCTTTGTATTTTGTTGTCTTCTCCAGTTCTTTCTCTATTCTATGTTGTTGTTTTCACATACTGGCACATATATTATTATTATTATTTTTCAAAAGTGGAATGCATTACATGTTTTGGTTTAAAGTAGATAGCAAGAGGTTACTCAGAGTTCAGCTGGATCACAATAAATTTTTATTTTAGACCAACATTATCTTTGGATCAATTTACAAACAATAATAAATACATTTTGGAAGGCCGTCAAGTTGCTGGGGTTTAATATCTTAAACTCTTGCAAAATCTCCAATGCTGAAAGTCATTGTAAAAAGGGGAAATAGTGAATTTGAGAGATCACATTCTGCTCTATTGTAAGTTTTACTAAGGCATTCTTAATTAGCTATTAACACCTCTTAGTCTATTTCCAGGCTGAATAGAACAGTTCTATGCACAACTTATTTTAGTAGACAAAAGATCTCAAGATAACTTGTGCTTTTGCAAGGTTGTTATTTGCAGCTTGTAGAATTTTTCCTGTTGATAGCAAGATAAAATGAGCATGATAAGAGGCTTTTTTATTATGTATGCTAGATTGTATTTTATATTGTATATTTTTATGCTGTCTAGGGCTATGACCCGCAATAAAGTTAAAAAAAAAGTAGATAATTCATGAAAACCAAGTGGCATTGCTTTAACAAAGCAAAATAAATCAAAACAAAAATGCAAACTAAGGAGAAACAACTGGATCCCACTGAATTCAATTAACAGTAAAGGAACCAGCTCAATCATTGTCTCCAGACAGACAGACAGACAGAAAAATAGATGATAGAGAGATGATAGATAGATAAGATAGACAGACAGACAGGTAGGTAGGTAGGTAGATAGGTAGGTGGATAAATAGATAGATAGATGATAGATAGATAGATATAGACAAAGAGAAAGAAGATAGACATAGACAAAGAGAGAAAGTAGATAGAAAGATAGATATAGACAAAGAGAGAAAGAAGATAGATATAGACAAAGAGAAAATAGATAGATAGATAGATAGATAGATAGATAGATAAATAGATAGATAGATAGATAGGCAGGCAGGCAGGCAGGCAGGCAGGCAGGCAGGCAGGCAGAGATAGACAGACAGACAGACAGACAGACAGACAACCTTCATTTCCCATGAATTGGATGATGTCTCTGAAGGTGGGCACTTTCCCAAAATTATCCAAAGAGCAGGTATTTGAAGATGCACTCAGGATATGGTACCTTTAAACTGTGGCTTATAAGAGATGGGTTTGAAGGCTTCTCCTTTCTACTTTTTTATTTCAATTCATGAATTAAAATTCACTTGCTATTCCAAACAGACAGGTCTATTAAATGACAGTGATGGTTTGGGATCATCACTCTTCAGCATCTTTAGATTCAGCCCACTTTTAGCCGACTGTTCGAGACCTATTGTTGTTTTAATGACCATTTTTTTTGCCTTGGTTATAAGTAATAACCATAAAAAACATTGATAGTGTTTGTTAAGATAGCAGCTTAATAGTTGCCAGTTAATATTTTGCAAGGTTCTTCTCCAGCTAGATGTCTGAATATGTTGGAATCTCTTTCCTTGCAAGTCGCAATTGTTTATAATTTAAACTTTTAAAAAGTGAGAGCTTTTACCATTAGAAAGCTACGGTTTCAAAAGCTGCACACAGATACACACATGTAACTGATTAAAAACTAATTCTGCTGATACTTCGTCATGAAAGACATTTTTTATGAATGATTTTTGGTGAGAAAAAAAGGTTCATTCTCATATATCAGTGGTGGGAAAAGGAGATGACCGTTGATGAGTTAATTTTCTGGTATAACATACCCGTACGGCGATTTGCATTAGGAGCACATTTGATTTGTATTAAAAGTTTAAAAACAATGAGAAGAAAAAAAATTCAAGGCTGTGATGAATTTTTGGGCCGAAAGATGGCAGCACTCCTTATCTGTTCAGCTGTTCTTTTCTCTAGAGAAATTGTGCTGTTTCTGTAAAGCTTTTCTTTGAACAATTTGCTTTTAAGCTCTGTTGGAGTTGCTTCATTCACACCAGTCAAAGGAAATATTACTTTTCCTCTGAGTGCAAAAAAGGCTTAATTAAATGCAAATTGTTGTTATCATATTCTGTAGAGTGCACATTTTAGAGACTCAGAATTTTTATGCCTTTACAAATGCATTTGACTGGTTTTGAGGATTTGGGGGGGGGGGTCCTTCCATCAGAGAGAGAAGACACAAAGATGTTAAGAACAAGCATTGCAGCTAGTCCTCAACTTACAACAGTTCATTTAGTGACAGTTCAAAGTTATAACAGCATTGAAAAAAGGGACTTAAGACCGTTTTTCACACTTAACGACCTTTGTGGCACCCCCAGGGTCACGTGATCAGAATTCAGACATTAGGCAACTGATTCATATTTATGACGGTCGCAATGTCCTGGGTCACGTGATCCCCTTTTGTGATCTTCTGACAAGCAAAGTCAATGGGGAAACCAGATTCACTTAACAACCTTGTTACTAACTTAACAACAGCAGTGATTCATTTAATAACTGTGGCAAGAAAGATCATAAAATAAGGCAAAATTCACTTAACAAATGTCTCGCCTAGCAACATAAATTTTGGGATCAATGTAATGCAATCCAACATAGCACAATTAATTTTATTTGGCCAGGTGTGACTAAACACACAAGGAGTTTCTCTCCGGTGCAGAAGCTCTCGGTATACCTACAAACCAACGAAGTGTTTTTAATGTAGGCTGCTCAGAATATATAAATATAACAAAGATAAATATAGCACTATATATATATAACAAATAAACAAATACTGTACTGTTTAGCTCCTTAAACCACAGGACTAGTTCTGTTTGAGTCATAGCATGATCTTAGGAAAGATGCTTTTGTGAAAACTGCCTTTCCTATGTACAACATGTGCATCTAGGTGTTTTAGAATCATTCTGCTTCTGTCGTTGTATGGGTCGAGCTACGTATCGTCTTCATGACAGCAACTGTCAAAAACAGTTTTGTGATACAAAACGAGACTTTGTTGTCCCAAAAGATCCAGAATAATTTTCCTCAAGGAAAAATATTGGGAAAAAAGACTGAAGATTGCACTGATCGTATGCAACTTGCACACCTGTAAACAAATTAAGAGACTAGAGATTCACCTGTCTGAGACGGTATGAGTTCTACTGCTTGAACAGGAGGCTGGACTAGAAGACCTCCAAGGTCCCTTCCAGCTCTATGCTATGCTATGCCATGCCATGCCATGCCATGCCATGCCATGCCATGCCATGCCATATTTTCTTTTCTATTCTATTCTATTCTATTCTATTCTATTCTATTCTATTCTATTCTATTCTATTCTATTCTATTCCATTCCATTCCATTCCATTCCATGTTTTCTATTCTATTCTATTCTATTCTATTCTATTCTATTCTATTCTATTCTATTCTATTCTATTCTATTCTATTCATATTTAGAAGGCAGAATAATGCATCTAAGTGTTTCAATACGTAGTCTTCGATTTACGACCGCAGCTGACTCCAACATTTCTGTTGCTAAGCGAGACAGTTAAGTGATTTGCCCCATTTTATGACCTTTCTTGCCACAGTTGTTAAGCGAATCACGGCAGTTGTTAGTAACATGGTTGTTAAGTGAATCTGGCTTCCCCATTGGCTTTTCTTGTCTGAAGGTCTCAAAAGGTGATCACATGACCCCGGGACACTGCAACCGTCACAAATACGAGTCAGTTGCCAAATGTCCGAATTTTAATCACGCGACCACAGAGAGGCTGCAGCAGTCGTAAGTGTGAAAAAGGGTCATACGTCCATTTTTTTCCAGTGCAGTTGTAGCTTGAAACTGTCACTCAATGAACTGCTGCAAGCTTGCACTGATCGTATGCAACATGCACACCTGTAAACAAATGTATTTGGAGGGCAGCGTAATGCATCTAAGTGTTCTCAATACAGGCAGTCCTGTAGTCCTGTATTGGCATTTCAGCCCTACTTTCTTATTTATTATTGAGAATTGATGAGATGCGTATACTTGAGCGCTGCGGAAGAGGAAAGGGGAGAATAAAGAAGTCCCAGGAAGGACTGTATAAAATATTCATACAAGCTACAGCTGTAGCCCTCGGGGTGTGGATAATCCTCAAAATGTCAGACTCCCTTAAGGGCAAGATGTGATACCCAGCTTTGCTTCGCCACAAAAGTGTGCTTTGCTGGTGTTAAGAGCCTGGCAGGCCACCTGGGTTGCGTTCAGACTCTGCATGGACCTTCTAACTTTTTTTGCTCCAGGCGTTTAGCAGATCTTCTTCTAGTCTTCTCCTCCACAGGGAGTCCTCGATGCAAACACCCCTCCTGGCTTTCTTTCATGCGCCTGTATTTCTTCCTCTGCCTCTGATGGCTGCTTAATTGGAGAAAGGGAGAAAGAAAGAACTCTACTCAGCTTGGATCCTTTCTCCCTGCTGTCTCCCTCACCCATCAATTTTGCAAGGAACTCAGAAGGTTGGGAACCGAGCTGGCCGAAAGAGCATCCCCGAAAAAGTCAAACGTAGGTGTGGCATGTCTGAAGGGAATGAGATTTTGTCTCTCTCGTGTAACATGAGAAACAGCTGCGAGTTAATCTTCGGAGGAGTTGGGCCGGTTCAGGCAGCTGTCTCCGGGAAAAGTCTCAACCCTCTTTTCTTTGTGTTCTGCCGTTACAGGATGGAGGATGAAGCTGTGTTGGACAGAGGGGCTTCGTTCCTGAAACACGTTTGCGACGATGAGGAAGTAGAAGGTAAGAGGCTGTCCTCTCTTGGATATTAAGGTCGCTCTTCCTTGTCCAAAATGCCTTTTCAGGATCAGGGGTGTATATACGAGGCATCCTACAAATGTGGTTTGTATATATGACATTAGCCGAGAACACTAGGCATGATCCGATCAAGGCAGAGCCTTTGCGATTTTATTATTTTTTACATATATATAAAAAGCTTGGTTTGGAAGCATTTGTAAGATGTTTTACTGGGTATGTCCTGTTTAACAAAAGACATGGACCAGGGGTGACATGATAGCATCGTAGAGTACTTGAGGGGCTGCCACAGAGAAGAGAGGACAAGAAGCAAGCGATGGAAACTAATCAAGCAGAGAAGCAACCTGGAACTGAGGAGAAATTTCTGTGAGAACAATTAAACAGTGGAATAGCTTGCTTCCAGCAGTTGGTGGTGCTCCATCACTGGAGGTTTTTAAGAAGAGATTGGACAGCCGTTTGACTGAGGTACTATAAGACTCCAGCCTTGAGTAGACGTTGGACTAGAAGACCTCCAAAGTTCCTTCTAACTCTATTATATTATGTTCTGGGTTTAGATGTATTCTGGTGCTGTGGTTTCTCTGTGTTTCTTGAGATGGTATTTGTTTCCCTTGCTGAGCAGGTAGGCTTTGGAATAGAGTTTTAGGGCCACAAAATGCATATTTACTGAACTACGTAGGGAGCTGGAACATGTGTGTGTATTTGTGTGCAGCTTTTGAAACCGTAGCTTTCTAATGGTAAAAGCTCTCACTTTTGAAAAGTTTAAAATATAAATCAATTGCAACTTGCAAGGAAAGAGATTCCAACATATTCAGACATTGTCTAGAAGAACCTTGCAAAATATTAACTGGCAACTATTAAGCTGCTTTCTTAAACACTATCAATGTTTTTTCTGGTTATTACTTATAACCAAGGCAAAAAAAGGGTCGTTAAAACAACGATAGGTCTCGAACTGAACATGGCAGGTCTGGCTCTGGTGTGGGAGATAGAGGGGTGAAGTTGGGAATTTTGCCTCTGTTTCTGATTCTTTCAGATCATCTCCTTTTTATGTTTTTTCTGCCTAGCCCACACCTCTGTCTCACCAACACAGTTCATTTTACAGAAGGAAAGTTGCCAATTTTGTTTTATTTGTTGGGCAGTTTGGGCCAAGAACGAAGTTTGTTTTGTCACATTGCTATAAAAATTGACTCTGTGCTGATGTTCGGAACCTACAGCTCCAAATTTTTCCGGCCTGAACAAGGTGAATTACTTACTATAAGTTGACAAAACACAAGAGTCGCTTGGGAGGTTTTGTTCCATGTAAACAAAACTTACTGTGTTTCATATTTCTGCGATTATATTTGAATGCCAGTCTTCTTTCGTTCAAGGCTTGCAGGTGTGTAGGCTTAAACTGTTTTATTATGGCAGCTGTTAACCTTTTTGAAAGAGGTAAGCTAAGTTAGAAAGGGTAATGTGTAGGAAAGCAAAATTGGATGGTGGCCTTGTTCTCTCTTCCCATCAATTCTGTCTAACTCTTATTTTTTCTTTGATGCTGTTCTTTGGGAATCATACCTGCTCAATAAATAACTGTCTCGCCTTGGCTTGCTGTAGAAATGTAAACAAAACATCCCCCATCATTGGGAAGGGGTACAAGGGGGGGGGGTTAAGTCTGGATTCCTGGTAGTAAGGCTGTTAGTCGTACTTTATATGCCTGTAGGAAAAGAAATGGTATCTATTTTGTGCAGATTTATTTTGTAGAACAGGGGTCCCCAAACTTTCTGGGTTGGTGGCTCAGTGGGAAGAGAGGGGCAGGCACCTTTATATGTGCATGTGCACACATGCTAATGTGGCTATATGCACGTGCATGCAAACGGGGCTGTGAACATGCGCACTGTGCAAATGGGGCTGCTAGCATGGGCACAAGAGGGGATGAGCACATGCACTGGCCAGCCACTCATATGGCTTGTGGCCAAGAGGCCACGGGCTGGTAGTAGGCCATGGCCCATAGGTTGGGGACCTTTGTTACAGAGTATGCAGTCTAAGCAGTATTCTATGCCCACCTCCTGACTCAGGGATGTAAAGGAACAACTTGTAGCTCAACTGTTTTCCAATCATAGCAATTTCCAGACGGGTGGACTTCAGCTCCCAGACTTCCACAGCCAGCAGGCTATTGCTGAGACTTCTGGGAGTTGAAGTCCACATATCTGGAAGTTGCCAAGGTTGAGAAACATTACTCTAAACAAAACACAAATGGGATATTTGTAGTCTAGCATAGGAGTCCCCAACCCCCGGTCTGTGGCATGTTAGCAACCGGTCCACACAAACAAAGGCCCATCCATGGGATGCAGGCAGTACATGAAATCATGTTTCCTCGGGTCTGCAAAAAAACCTCTCTTCACGGAACCGGTCCCTGGTGCTCAAAAGGTTGGGGACCTCTGGTCTAGCAGATGTTGCTGGAATCCAGCACCTGACAGCCTTCAACAGCTTGATTGATGACCTGAATTGATAGTCTGCTTCTAGAGGATCATACTTTCCCCAGCATTGGTTTGTGAAGAGTATTTGCTACTCTACTTTCAATGGCTCATAGTAGCATACATTGAAAAATCCAGACAATTAAAAGGAGCTTAATAATATTCAATGTTTTGATGACACTGGCTAACACGAGTAACCACCTTCCACCTTCTAAACATCAAGTATTTACTTTCATTATGGAAATTTCATTAGAGATTATTCTTACGTAAGACAGCAAATTATTGAGAAAGTCCTATTTGTGGCATCCTATTTGTAGTATGTAAGTCATGAAGTTAGCGAGACTGAAACCAACAATTCCCAAGCTAGAGGGAATTGTCAGGGTCAATGTAGATACTTCCCGTGGCCATCAAGAGAATGGCCAAATATCCATTGATTTAGAACAGGAGTCTTCAAACGTGGCCCTTTTATGACTTGTGGACTTCAACTCCCAGAATTCCTCAGCCAGCATGCTGAGTTGAAGTCAACTGAGGAGTTCCGGGAGTTGAAGTCCACAAGTCATAAAAGTGCCAAGTTTGAAGACCCCTGATGTAGAAGCTGTTACATAGAATTCAGAGTCTAAATCTTGCTCTGTAGATCTATAGATAGGTACTGGCTTCTGTTTACTACAGAAAGCTAATTATCTGCTTTGTTCCTATCAGCAATAAGAGCATTATTGCTCTATGTCATTGTCCGAAAGTCTTCTGCCAAGAAAGTCTATTCCTGAATACGTTTTAAAGTGTCAGGGAAGAAAGAGTTTATTGCAAAAATTCTGGTGTAAAATGTGAAGCAGTTCTAGCGAGAAGACTCTGCCATAATAGGTAAGCCAGGCAGAAAACAGAACAGATGAACTAATTCTACTTTATTATGAGGCTTCATTAACAGAATCTTGCAAGTCTGAAAGTACAAATCTCCCAACGTCTCTTTTAACAGCCTGGTAAGTTAGGGAGCGACCCTCCTGAGTTGCTTTCTCTGTTGCATTATATCAGGGGTCTTTAGACTTGGCCCTTGTGGACTTCAGCTCCCAGAATTTCTCAGCCAGCAGTTAAAATTACAAGTTTGGGAAAGCAACAGCTACCACACCTTTTTTTGTTGTAGCTGGTAGAGATGTTCATTTCTTATTGGACTAAAGCTTTTGTTTGTCTGCCATTGGAACATGGTGGGAACACTCTTCTTCCGCTGGCCTGTTCAGATGAGTTGCCTGAACCTCAAGCATCATAATTCCCAAGCACTTTAGGTAGAATAATTGGTACTGCAGTCTGGAAGATATCAAGTTGATCAAGCTTTCTACATGAGGTGCAAGGGACGGGACCATAGGTTAAATTCAAAAAAGATGTATTGTTCCTGCCTACGCAGAAGAATCTAGGCAATTAAATTTTACTACTAAATTGGTGCCAGATAAAGGTCAACGGAATTCAGGAGGAGTTGGACTGTGGGAATGTAGTGACTCTAATAGAATAGAATAGAATGCAGGATAGAGTAGAGTAGAGTAGAGTAGAGTAGAGTAGAGTAGAGTAGAGTAGAGTAGAATAGAATGGAAAATATGGCATGGCATGGCATGGCATAGCATAGCATAGAATGGCATGGCATGGCATGGCATAGAATAGCATAGCATAGCATAGAATAGAATAGAAAATATGGAATGGCATGGCATGGCATGGCATAGCATAGCATAGCATAGCATAGCATAGCATAGCATAGCATAGCATAGCATAGAATAGAATAGAATAGAATAGAGTTGGAAGGGACCTTGGAGATCTTCTAGTCCAACTCCCTACTCGGGCAGGAAACCCTACACCATTTCAGACAAATGGTTGTCCAATCTCTTCTTAAAAGTGATGACATGCTTAACTCTGCTCAGCAGCTTTGCCTTCTCTTCTCCTACAAATTCTCCCTTTTCTTCATCCTCCCATCCAAGAGTGAAACTGCTATTTCTATTTAGGAGTATTGAAAGACCCTGAAAATTGCTTTGAAATGGAAGGCTCACCTGTCTGAGGCTACCTTCTTCCCTTTTCTGATTGCCTTTAGAGCAGTGGTTCTCAACCTTTTTAATGCCGCGACCCCCAACCAGTCGTAAGTCGAGGACTACTCAACCGGTCGTAAGTCGAGGACTACTCAACTGGTGCAGCACCGTTTGCAGAATGGGACTTTTGGCGGGCTCAGCAGGGCAGAGACAGCCTGGACAATTCCTATTGGCTTTTGAAAGCCAATAGAATTAGACTCTATTCAAGAGAGTCTGTTCTATTGGCTTTCAAAAGCCAATAGAATAAAAGGGAGTAGCACAGCTAAGGAAAAGGGGAAAAAAATGGCGGACTGCGTTGTTTGGCGACCCCCGTGAAATGGTCGTTCGACCGCAATTACATTGGCCAAATTGGGTGGGAAACCACTAAGTTAACGGCAGCACAGAGTTCTACAGATTTTCTTTAAGTGGAAAATAAAGTGAGGGACATTGCTATGCCGTAGAGCAGGGGGTCTTCAAACTTGGTCCTTTTATGACTTGTGGA